GTCTTCTCCGCCCCTACCCCCCTTCCAACGCGCGATGTGCTGCAGCCACACACACCCTGGTGGTGCTCTGCTCCAGCCATAACCCAACCAATGAACACTCCTCCCTCCCGCCCTGATGATCCTCGGTGCCAGGAGAGGACGCCGGAGCTGGGCGAAGCGCCTTGCTTGGGGCCTAGCTCTGTCCTGTCTCGCTCCGTTCCCATTTTGATGCGGCTTGTTTTAATCCTCCCCATCTGCTTTTTTACAGATGTTGTTGATTCAACGGACAGACCTGCCGATCTGATTTCCCAGGCCGTCGCCTGTCGATTGATCCGATTTGGTTTGGACCTATGGCTGTTCTGTTAGCTGCTGATTGCGCGCTTATCTGATTCAGAGTTCTTCCTTCGAACTATGGATTGCGTGTATTCTCCCCTCTTTTCCCTCTTTGATTATAAGCTCCTTCGTTCTGTTCCTCCTTCACTGGTTGATTTCTGATGTGGCAAAGTCGCTCGTGTATATAAATTGATTGGATTGGATGCACATGAGCGAGGTGGGACTATTTTTGAGTTCTAATCCTCACAGAGAAGTGCGGGAGCCATGGAGGGGCGCGCTGGAGGGAGCAGCTTGGGTTCTCGCCGCCATGCTCGCCATGCCGTGCCATCTCTCGTTTCTCTCCTTCTTCTTGGTTTTCCCCTCTCTCTCTCCCCCTCATGCTTCCTCGTTTTCTTTGAGGAGCACGGCGGCGCAACCATGGCGCCACCCAGGAGAACCCCAACGCCTTGCAAGGTCCATCTGCCGCTCGCCTGGATCCGGACGCCGTCGTCGTTCCACGCATCCAACTCGTCTGCCACCACCCTGTGCAGACCTCACTCAATCGGATCAAGCGAGAGAGCCGCCTGCCGTCGTCCCACACGCTCGTTGACCCACCTCGATCCAGAGATAGGGGTGGGCCCGCCAGCGGGGTAGGCGGTGGCGACGCACGGCGGCGACCTGCGGGCACGGTGGGGCGGGATGGGCGGCAGGCTGGAGGTGGGATCGGGAGGCAGACATGGCCGAGGAGGGCGGGTCATGGCTGTTTCTTTTTTTCTTTTATCTCGCATGTACGGAGTACCAGTTTGTGTTTGTAACAAATGCAGGGGGTTTTATGCAAAAACTAAACGTTTTTCCAGGGTGTCACTTAAACAGGGACTGCGGGTTGATTTGAAAGAAATAGAGGGGGGTTTTTGCAAAATCGCGCGCGACGTCGTACGACCAGAAGCCGTCGGTGCTTTATTAGTAGGTAAAGATAAAGATAAAGATTGTGCAGGTTTAGCATATGACTTGTGTTGTTCAAAAAATAAATATTGTCTCGCACATGATTCGTAGCTTTGACGCGAAGTACAGTAGCGCGGCGAAACAAAACAAGCGACGTACACTTACTACGTAGCAGGGAGGAGGGTAGGTGTGGGTGTGCGGGAGGGGAGTGGAGCTTACGTCCATGCCGGTGATGGGGCTCTCGGAGTGCCGCCACGCGATGTCGCCGGCGTACCGCTCGAAGACGCAGATCATGTTCTCCCGCACGTACGGCCGGCCGTCGGCGGCGACGAAGACGCCGTCCATGTACCGCGCGTGCCGCGGGCAGTCGTTGAGCGGCACCAGCGGCATGGCCTGCAGGCCGAACCCGTACTCGCCGGCGTCCATGTACGTCTTGAAGTACCACGCCTCCGTCGGGTCCATGTAGGGCACGAACAGCTCCGACGCCATGCCCTTGTACATCACCTCCCTCCGCGCCCCGGTGGCCGGGTCCTGCACCGTCGCGCCGGACACGACCAGCCCGGCGCGCGCGTCCGCCTTGAGGTGGAACTCCCACCCGGCCCACCGCACCGTGTGCCCGTCCTCAATCTGGAATCCTGGGCCCTCCGGCGCTGGCTCCATCGACGGCGCCCGCACCGTCTGGTACCCGAATCTATCGGTGCCGTCGTCGTCGTCGTTGGCGGCGCCGCGGTAGTCGGTGTTCTTGGCGGCCGGGATGGGGATGCCGGCGCCGCGGTCGGAGATGTGGACCACCTTCCCGGTGTCCATGTCGACGAGCACGGTGAGGCCTTCGATGGGGCGCATGTAGAAGTTGGCGGTGCCCTCGGTGGAGTAGCACTGGCTCTTGATGAGCCGGCGGCCGCCGTCCTCGGCGGGGCCGTACCAGCCGGGGGAGATGGGCAGGCACGCGACGTCGTCCAGGCGCACGCCGCGGCGCCGGATGGTGGCGTTGAACGCCGGGTCGCCGAACGGCGCCGCGCAGAGGGAGTTCTGCTCGTCCATGGTCATCGTCGGGTAGCCCGAGGCCGGCACGGGCAGAGGGGCGACCTTGCCGGCCGCGAGGTCGACGGCGAGCACGTGGGACTCCCCCTGGAAGCGGACGACCGCGACGGCACGGCGCGGCGGGAGCGCGTGGGCGCCCTTCCGCCAGCGCCGGACGGCGGGCTTGTCGGGCTCGTCGAGCGCGAGCGCGTGCACGGTCGCGCGCGCGGCTGATCTCCGTCACCGTGAGCGGGTCGAGCGGGTGGCGCGGCACGTCGGACTCGTGCGAGGGGCGACGTGGCGGGCTCTTCTCGGTTCGTGGTGAGCGGCAGGCCCACGGCGAGAACCGGGTGCAGCCGCCGGCGCCGTGCAGGAAGGAGGCGGCCGGGGCGTCGATGGCGAGCGGCAGGCGGAAGGCGGAGCGGGCGACGATGAGGACCAAGGCGGCGCCGAGGGCGAGGAAGGTGAGGCGGAGGAGGGAGGTGGAGTAGTCCATTGGAGCTGAGTGAGTGAGTGAGCTGAGCTCTCGCCGCTTTGTGCGCAGCTAGCGTCAGTGACTCGCCTATATGTGCGCACGTTCGTCTAGCAAGTTCGATCAGATCATGCAAAGCACCGAATCGGGTACGTCACCCCACACGGCAAACGCAAGGCAACAAGCGAGGTTACATCGTCCATCGATCGGTCGCTTTTTCTCTCGTTTTCATGCTAGCTAGTATGAATAAAAACACGACAAAAAAGATAATAATACAGTAACAATTTTTGAACAAAAATCAACAGCCATGATAGGTGATACTAGGTATTTTATCACTGCCGCAAAAAAAAACTCTCAATTTTTCACATCGTGATTTGTCTTGATTGTGATTTGGACACGGTTGCTAGCTTGAAGTTGTTTTTATATATGTTTGAGATGATGCCAGGACTAAAAATAAACTTTCAAAAGAAGTGAGATTCTCACTGTTGGGGGATGCTATGCTGATATTCATACTAGCTCCTATGTTGTGCCGTTCATGAAGGCGCCTCCTTGGAGTCCGTAGTTCGGCATTCTTCGGTAACATCTCTTTCCATTGGTTGCTCGATCACCAACGATGGCTCCAATGACCCCAAGCAGTGTTCCTTTCGAATTGTAGTTTGCTATGTGTTGCCTGAAGTTGTGTTGTTGTTGCTTGGCACCTTGTATCTTTTTCTGTATCTTGTCTTGTGAGTTGTGTGGTGAGGTGGTGTGCAGTGTTGTTGTATGTACGGTTTTATCTACAACGCGTTGCGGCTTGGACGACCAATTCACCGGGCATTTCCATGAACCAACAATTATTTTGGGAGCGGTTGCCTCCAAAGTTTTCTGGATTAGGTGCTACTTTGGGTTGCTTGGATTTCACAATGCCATCAATTTCTTGCAGAGATTTCATCTAAATGGAAGGTAGGCTAGTGGTACTTCTCCACCTTTTAACTTCATGGTGAATGTCTGTTACGGCATATCTCTCTCAAGGTAGTTTTGGTGATTGATGACAACATGTTTGCGGACTAATCATGTGCTTTAAATAGTTCACAGATTCACCCCTGGCACGAGACGTTTTCTTCCCTTCGGAGTGTCTTTCAAGACGGTGTAGCTCTTTCGTTTCTCTCTCGGTGGACTAGTTGCGTAGAGGGCACCGTTCTATCAAGAGGGGGTCCGCTGGGGTATTGCATGGGTGGAATCAACACGTACACATCAGCTTCTCTCCCTCCGAGCTTTTCTGTTCACTGAAGAGATCTCTCCACTTTCCTTTGTCCTGTCTGGGTCCCAGCGGTAGTACCGCGCAACCCAGCCGTAGTACAGCTGAGGAGCCACAAGCGGCAGTACCGCTCCACAGCGGTAGTACCGCCCTTGACTCCACAGCAGTAGTACCGCTGGGGTGCCTGGCACCACCGCCTCGTCCTCAGCATCTTTGGAGAGATCCTCTCTCTCTCTCTTCTGTGTCCCAGCGGTAGTACCGCACTACCAGCGGTAGTACGGCCGAAGGGTCACAAGCGATAGTTCCGCTCCATAGCGGTAGTACCGCCCGTGACCCCGCTGCCATAGTACCGCTGGGCTGTCTGGCTCCTACCGCCTCGACTCGAGGGCTCTTTTTCTCGTGTCGGGTTTTGCGGCACTAGTTGCGGTTATAGAGGCGGTAGTATCGTTTCAGGAGCGGTAGTACCGCCCCTACCACCGCGGTAGTACCGCGTTGGGTCCTATTCCCTCCTTGTCTTCTCTGCGCGGCAGTGCCGCTGGCTGGTGCCGCAGTACCGCTGACCTAGCAGTAGTACCGCCCCCTCTTGCGGTAGTACCGCCCTGTGCGGGGCTGGTTGGTGGGGGGCAACGGTTGGATTGTTGCCCCCACTATAAAAGGGGGTCCCCTTCTTCTCTTTGACTTACCTCTTCCCCCTCAAGCTCCATTTATTGCTCAAGATCCATTAAATGCTCCAAGCTCCATTTTCGCCCGATCTATCTCTCTAGCCAATCAAACTTGTTGATTTGCTCGGGAGTGGTTGAGAAGGCCCCGATCTACACTTCCACCAAGGGATTTTCGATTCCCCCACTCATCCCTAGCGGATCTTGTTACTCTTGGGTGTTTGAGCACCCTAGACGGTTGAGGTCACCATGGAGCCATAGTCCTTTGTGGTGAAGCTTCATGGTTTTGTTGGGAGCCTCCGATTAAGTTGTGGAGATTGCCCCAACCTTGTTTGTAAAGGTTCGGTCGCCGCCTTCAAGGGCACCAATAGTGGAATTACGGCATCTCGCATTGTGTGAGGGCGTGAGGAGAATACGGTGGCCCTAGTGGCTTCTTGGGGAGCATCGTGCCTCCACACCGCTCTAACGGAGATGTACTTTCCCTCAAAGGGAAGGAACTTCGGTAACACATCCTCGTCTTCACCGGATCCATTCTTAGTTATCTCTTACCTTTACTTGTGCAAGCTCTTTAGTGTTACTTCTCTTGCTTGCTTGTTTGCTTGTTGGTATTGCATCATATAGGTTGCTCACCTAGTTGCACATCTAGACAACCTACTTTGATGCAAAGTTTAATTTGATAAAGAAAAGTTAAAAATTGGTAGTTGCCTATTCACCTCACCCTAGTCAACCATATCGATCCTTTCAATTGATATCAGAGCCTCGTCTCTTTATTAAGGACTTTACCGTCCAAAGAGTATGGTTGATACCGTAGACGGTGTGGAGGAACACTCCGGTGTGAATCCGATCTCGTCTACGGGCGATGGGGGAACCTCGGTCTCTCGTGAGGAGTTCAATGTGGCCTTAGAGACATTGAAGACCTCCATGACGATCGAGGTTGAAAGCATGTTTACTAAACTTCTTGAGGGGCTTAAACTTTCCACCGCACCGTTGAAAGTGGGTGATCCCACCGACAAGGTGACGGATGTTATCCCCGACAAGGGGGAAGCTAGTAGTGAAAAGGCTCCGTCTTCTAGTGGTAAAAATGGCACCGGCACCTTTGCTCATGTGGAACCACCACTTGTTTATGGTGGACCGGTTCCTTCTACTCATTTGAATCATGCCGGTCCTCCCCCTAAGATTGTGAAAAATGAGAACTTTGATTCTTGGGTTTACCGCTTTAAACGTCATTTAAATCATGTGAACACTAACCTTTGGAGAATCATTGAAGAAGGTTTCTATCCGCATGATTCAAGCAACTTCACTCCTCGAGAAGCCGCGGACAATCAATTCAATGAGAATGCTCTCTTCATCATCCAAGATGCAATTCCACCCGAAGACCTACCTCATCTTCGTCCCTTCGCCTTGGCCAAAGATGCATGGCATTGTGTTGTCTCTCTCTACTGAGGAAGCGCAAGCATTCAACGCTCCAACTATGAAGTGGTACAAGATGAGGCCGATGAGTTTGCAATGAAAGAAGATGAAGAACCTCGTGAGCTTTATCGAAGAGTAACCAAACTCACGGTCTCACTACGAGATCACGGGAGCAAGGACACGGATGACAATTGGATCAAGCGCAAATTCCTCAAGGCAATGATGCCCTATCACAAGGCCATGTCCTCCATCATTCGTCAAAGACCAGACTTCCACACTTTGACCTCAAGCGAAGTGTTGGATGAGTTTGTGGCCATGAACATTTTGGACAAGACCGCCGACAATGCGGTGCTTCGTTCTCAAAGGGCAAAGAGGCCTAACCTTGCATTGAAGGCCAAGCTCACCGTTGAAGAAGAAGAAGAGGAAGAAGAGGAGAGCAACCCCGAAGATATGAAGTATGCATATCATGAACACATGGCACTTGCTTCAAGGCAATTTTGGAGCAAGAAAAACTCGAGGCCAAACTTTAGCAAAAACAACTCAAGTGGCACGAGGGGCAAGCAATGTGTAAGGACTTGCTACAATTGCGGCAACGTGAGTCATTTTGTTGCGGAATGCCCGTATGAGAAGAGGGAAGACAATGGTGGCAAGCTCATCTGAAAGGACAAGGCCAAGTCGTTCCCCAACAAAAGCAAATTCACCAAGAAGACGCCTCCCCGGGCATTGGTGGTACAAGAAGAGTACAATGAGGATGATGATAATGATGAAAGTGATGAGTCGGTTGCCATGGCCTCCATTGCCATTGCGACGACTCCACGGGTGTCTCTCTTCGACTCACCCAATGAGAGCATCACCGCCAAGTGCCTCATGACTAAAGCCACCAACAAGGTAACCCCCAACATCAAAACTACTATCATTAATCATCCTTCTTCGACGGATAGCATTGATGAACATGAGGGAGCTAATGTGGAGGCAAATGAGTTTGAGGCCTTTATGGGCAAACTTAAGGGTAAATCCAAGAAGCACTTTGTTGCTCTCTTGGAACAACTTGGTGAAGCCAATGACATGATCGAGGCTCACGAAGATACCATCACTAAGATGGAAGGGCATAGTCGTGACTATGCCGATGAGATTTTGGATCTTTCCAATGCTCTTGAGGAAGAGCGTGGTCTTCGTTTGGCTCTTGAGGAGTCACACAACTTTGATCATGCTAAGTTAAAGAACGATTATGATCATGTTCTTGTTGTTT